GTCTTAGCTCTCTGGTACCATAACCCTCTGTCTCCAGTCCTAGTACGTAGGGTTTTTTATGTTGAACTACCAGTACTGCCAGTGTGTATTTACGTACGTATTGCCACGCCCAACGAATTGAAACCACGCCTCGAGCCTTGAGGCTTCAATCCGTGACCCTTTTTAATCACTGTTTGTCAGACACAGAGAAAATATGCGAACAAACATAGAAGATAAATAGAGAGAGATAGAAAGAAACTAAAAGGGGGAAGAAGTACTTCAGTTCATCGCCGGCCGACACCTGCGCTATTCTATGTACCTCACTCTCGAACTCCAATAACTGTTCATGCAGGAATCATACGAAGGCTCTCTCAGTTTCAGGTATCTTGCCACATATATATATATATTCTTTTTTTTGTGAATTTGTTCTGTTTTTCTTTACAACCAAGATTTGAACTGAACTTGGTTCTATCTTTTTCTGTTATCTCTACCCAATTACCTCAATACAACGTTTCATGATTTAACGAGGCAAGCTATATCATACTGTGTTTTTTATTTGTAATTTTGATGATTTCAAATCATGGCCTCATACGATCTGTTTGGTCTCTGTTGACAAGATTTGATTTCCAGTGCTTCCACAGAGAGATGTGGTGGGAGAGAAAAGTAGAAATAAAAATAAAATTTTGAGAGTGAAAAAAATTTAAAGTGGTTTTTGGTTTTTTATTTTGTGTTTTTTCTTCTAATTTCTTCTACATCTCTCACACATTACTTCCTCCATTTGTTTACCTCCCATTTCTCGCATAGACACCTAATCTAACACAAAAATAAAACCAATTACAAAATTGAAATGGTTATTAACAGAAACAGACACTCAGTTTTTTGTTTTTAATTTTCACTGAAAACTTGTTTGGTAATTGTTCTTATACAAATTGAAAAACCAAAATCAAGCCAAATTGTGAGCTTTTAGATTTTTGAAGGCTGACAAAAGTAGTTTTAGTTTTTAGAAAACTAAAAACAATTCCTGAACAAGTTTTCGGTTAAAATAAAAGGCTAAATAGCCAAAATGATTCATCAGATTTGCATAACTCATCACTTTCGTCTCTAACATTTCAAATCAATAAAAGTGGTCCCTGAGAATGTCCACCATCCATCATTTTGGTCATTCAATTAAAAACTCTGTTAAGTGTCCCGGAGCTCTTGGCCGGAAGTTTTGGCAAATTTTAAAGCTTCGTAACTCAATTGTTTCTTAATCAAATTCGACCCATAATATATCAAAATGAAGATAGGAGATTGTAGAATAAGATTATACTATTTGGAAGCCCAATGTTTGCCAAAAATGGCCAGAAAATAGCCTCAAAGTTGACTGGTCTGAGGGAAAACTGGAAAACTCGCCGGAAACTGGGTAACCTTTAAATGTTCATAACTTCTTCAATACTCAACGAAATCAAGTGATTCAAAAATGAAAATCATACTTCTCAACGAGACAAAGAGTGATAATTTTTTAGATGGCTAACTTGCCGTGGTTTGGCCTTAAAACGGCTCGAAATTGGCTGTCCACGGCCACTTCGAGCAGTTTTCCGGCAAAACCACAGTGAGTTAGCTGCTGAAAAATATACCATTCTCTTTGTCTTGTCGAGAAGTATAATTTTTGTTTTGAATCACTTGATTTCGTTGAGTATTGAAGAAGTTATGAACGTTTAAAGTTTACCCAGTTTTCGGCGAGTTTTCCAGTTTTCCCTCAGACCAGTCAACTTTGAAGCTATTTTCTGGCCATTTTTGGCAAACATTGGGCTTCCAAATAGGTATAATCTTATTCTACACTTTCCTATCTTCATTTTGATATATTATGGGTCGAATTTGGTTAAGAAACGATTAAGTTACGAAGCTTTAAACATTGCCCAAACTTCCGGCCAAGAGCTCCGGGACACTTAACGGAAGGACCAAAATGATGGATGGTGGACAATCTCAAGGACCACGTTTATTGATTTGAAAAATTAGGGACCAAAGTGATGAGTCATGCAAATCTCAGGGACCATTTTGGCTATTTAGCCAAAATTAAATAATTATCAAATAACCCCTTATATTTAGGGGTGTGCTATCCACACACCCCAAATTACTTCTCACACACCCTTGTTAATTTCTATCCGTTGATCTTCTTCAATTCATCCGATCCGACGGCCGAAAATTAGAAGGGTGTGTGAGAAGTAAAATGGGGTGTGTGGATATCACACCCCTAAATATACTAGTGGCGAAACTGAAAGACACTCGAACATAGACATGTATTAACTAGAGAGTTGGTTAGGTTCTCTTTTGAAAGCAGCGACCATGGTCGATAATAATTTTAAATACATATATAATAAATGAGTAATTCTACGGAAACCACATATTTATACTATATTGGTGTGGTAAGTGATGCATACAACAAACATCCAATGAGATAAACTCATTAATTGACATGTACACATCATTTGTTACATAAAATAGTAAACAAATGTGATACAAAAATATGGCCTCCATAATATTTTCCAAAATGAATAATATCTGTTCTTTTCTTCTAAACAAAGATATTGAGAGTCGAGATTTGGCCGAAGTCATACAATGAGTTAACAATAATTAGATTTTGAACTAGTCATTTATGAGTCAAACCTGAAACATTTCATTCACTAGTGAACCAAAAGACCACTAAACTGTAAAATTTGTGACAACTACTCTTTTACTTCTTAGAAGTGCTATCCAGTGACTCACTGTAGACAGTTAGATTGAAAATGAATAATTAGATGACATACTTCCTAAATATCTAGGGCTAGCTTGAGAAAGGGGAGGAGGGCCGGGGGAAGGTAGGGTTGATGGTAAGATAGATACATGCATGCTTAAACGAATTTCATGATCCTCTGTCTACACTTCTTTTCAGTTTCTCTAGGAATATAACTTCTAGCTAAGCTAGTACGTGCTAAGATTAGGTTGTGTTCCCATATCAAGATACAGATCAAACTTCAAAATCTCTTGGAAAATCTCTAACTGCATGTGATATTGCTAGTGTATATATCAACATGTATGCATGTCCGTGTGTATGTGTATGAGAAAGAAGAGAAAATTGTAGCAATGGTCATTTATCTTTAACCTAATTGGAGCAATGGTCATCAACTAAAAATCTATGACCATTGGTTCCTTAACTCATCAAAACGTGTAGTTATATGGTTATTTTCATCAACTATGTTAAAACTTTTGATGACTTTCATCAAAATGAGTCACATAGTCAGAATTAAGGGGAAAATATTGAAAACTAAATGAAAAAATTGTAGAATTAATGGTTGCCCAACTTTAACCCAATTGTAGCAATGATCCATCAACTTTAACCCAATTGGAGTAATGGTCCCTTAATTTTAACTCAATTATAACAATGATTCTTCCAACACGACTCGTTTGGACAGAGTTGACGAAAATGATTATAGCTGCACATTTTGAGGAGTTAAGAGAACATTAGTTATGAATTTTTAGTTGAGAGACCGTTACTCCAATTATGTTAAATTAAGGGATCATTGCTACAATTTCCTAGAGAGAGAGAAACACATAATTACAGCTTTAGCAATTTTCTTACGGAGCGATTAAATAGAGGGCCATGAATTTATTGAATTTGACCCATTGAAATATTATATTTACATTATAACTTGAAAACATAAATATTGTACTAATATGTGTAGTTTGATGCATTTCACAAATGAAAATATAGACAAGATAACCAGCTTTAGGAAGAGAAAACAAGAAACATCGTCAATCTTCAAAATAAATGAATTATTAGGAAGAACAATATCTAATTTCTCCACAAAGGATCGATTTAAATTTAAGTCGCTATAATTTTTTTTTCTTATGTGCAAATTAAAGAAGTGAAAAAATTAGGGGTTACCTTGTGTATAGGGGTACATACTCGCTACAAGTAAAGCTATAGGTTATAAAAGTTTGTTTGGAAGTTCTTTTAAATTGACCGAAAACGCTTTTGGTTAAAATATTTTTAGAACCAATCCTTAGTAAAAACACAAATGAACCATGAAAAAGCATACTTGAAGTGTTTTATGGAAGAAACACCAGTTATGTGCTTATTCCAAGAAGCACCTTAAATACTTTTGGAATCCAAAACATTTTCTCTAAACCGCTTTCAATCATTTAAAAAACACTTTCAAACGTGCCCTAACTAAAAATTGTGTGTTTGAACTATTACAACATCAAAGATTTTCCAGCCAAAGAAAAAGAAAACTATTGCCAGAGCCACCGTTTTTGCCATTTGGTCATTACAATTTGAACTATTACTACACATGCGATCAGTATATCTTGAATAAATAAAATCTTTTCATACCATTCATAATTAACATAATTCGGTGAGTGCAACATTATCCTTGATCATATTGTTTACTAAGATTTGTTTGATTATTCTTCCAAAAACTTCTTAATCAAAGCATAAACATGTTCATATATCACACATCTAATGCAACAAGTAGTTCATCTGGTTAGCTGTTGAATACAAATACATCCGATATCAATTCGACAAGAAAGCCTTATATTCCTGTGAAATTCAAGATATTGAAATTAGCCAAGAAAGTGCATGCAAATCTGCACAGCTAACCTAGCAGCAAGCATTAACTATTTCTATGGCAATCTAGCTTACCTTTATGAGATAGCTATTATATTATGTATAACAACCTTAAATCCTTCAATCGCTATATTTTTTTTAACAGTAATATTAACAAAGTCGCTTAAATATTTCCAAGGAGCCTGTAGCATAACAAGAAATTAAACAAGAAACATTTCCAATCATTAAGAAATTGAAACAAAGGGGAATAGAAATTTCACATCCTTAAGCTTATCAATCAGGTGATTAATTTTATCAAACAGGGAACAACTATTTGTCATGGATAGTCTCACTACTGCAAGCATAAACCCTGTTCATCAAGCATCTTCTGGCACTGATCCTTTTCTTTGGTGATATCACTAAGTTAAATCAGATGCTAATTGTCAGAGCAGGAATATACACCTATGTGGTGTGTTTTGATTGTTTAATTATAGCATATTTATACCTGCTTAAATGGTACCTTATATTAAATTCGAATAGAAATGTTTACAGCATAAGCTAAACTATTAAACAAAAAAAGGCATTACAACTAACAAATACCTCATCAATGTCATTTGATGTTTTCATAAGGGACGTGGTTTTAACATAAAGAAATGCATACTTGTAGGGGTCTATATAAAATTCTGATCAAGTACTGGTTATGCGTTGCTAAGGAAAACCATCTCCAATTGGATCATGTTTTGTAACTCTTGGGGAGCTGTAAAACAGTGGATAATCTAATGAGCATTCAAAGAAATACATGAACAAAATATAGCTTACTTCTTCGATCGAAGTTAATAAATTGGAAGATAATCGATGTATTTGCCAGTTAATTCCGCAATTAACCCTCCCAAGATTTCAGTTCCTGCAGATGGACATCTTAATCAATAAATGTGGAATTGTAAATTAAACAAATAAAGAGAAGGGCATGCCTTTATGTACTATATATACATATGTGTACATGCATACCAGTGGAAATTAAAATTTATGGTGGCAGTGGCACAATTAATGCTCGGGCATGGGGAACGAGCCATTGATGTCCCAATATTGAGATGAATTGGTAAATTGGAGGTAGCTGCTGCTGGAACTCTGATCAGTAGTATTATAATTTGAAACTACCGATAACTTCATTTTGTTTCTTTTGATCAAAGCAGATTGATCCTCCTCCTGACAATGATGATGATGAGCTTGATTATCCAAGAGGGATCCCAGTTCTTGATTCACATGATGATCTCCAAAATTAACCTTCGATGAGGATGAGATGTTTGTTTCATGATCATTAAGCTGCTCATTGAATAAGTTCATTTGGTTCAAGATCTGATGAGGCCTCCTACTAGTAATGCACACCTTTTTTGCTCTTGTCCTTTCCCTTGCCCTTGCTCTTGCCTTTGCCCTCGATTCCTTCGCAACATAAGCCCCGGCAGATTCAGATTCTTTCAACTTCATCATCACCATCTCTTTTTCTTTGCTGACTACATGATTATCCACCTCGTTTATGTCCGGAACAACATCCTTGCACTCGGAAGTGGAAGACAAACTCTTGGACCACTCAGAACTGCAGCTCAAGTTATTCTTCCGTGTTCCGAGATCCCTGATGGCCTTTCTGGACTTGTTTAGTAGCCACTCTAGGGTTTTACTTGCCGTGTCAAACCCTAGCCGGTCTTGGAGGTCAAAGAACTGACGGGAAACGTCGATGGACAGCCTTACCCTCCGGTCCCTCAAGCCCTGAGCGGTGAAGATCTTGCTGTGCCGGTCTTTCTTCGCCGGTGCTACTACTACATCTTGCCTAGTGGAATGAAGAAAATAAGGAGTAATATTATCACTACCAATGCGACCATAGTTACTGTACTGATGATGATGATGATCTCCACAAGATGCGGGGGCATTTATACTAGGAGGAACAGTGTTTGATGAAACTCCCAAATGGGTTAGGGTTTGATGAGCAGAGGGGCCCATTAAAGAAATATTTTGGTGTGAAAATTGACCACAGAGGGAATCATGAATGTGGTGAAACAAAATCTCTCCAGTGCAGGTTACTAGGTTAACACAAGGAGAAGGAGGAGGAGGAGGAGGAGGAGGAGGAGGAGGATTTGTAGAAGGAAAGGGAAAGTTAGGTTGAAAAGGACTTACAGTATTGCTATTACAACAGGAAGATGAAAACATGATATCTTTTTCCTCAGGCAGTCCTTATACAATATAATACCTTTGTTAAGAGAGCCTCCCCTTCTTTTTAAACACTAGAAGAGATTATCCTAATTTCAAACAGGTCAAATTAAGAGAGCTTCTTCATACTCATAAACTTCTCATGACTTCGCTTTTCAGACTCACTTTCTCAGTGCAACTTCAGATCCATCTGTGTTCTAAAAAAGAAGATCAAGGGGAGTGAGCTTTACAGTGATAGATGGTATCATTTGATATAGACACAAAAGCACTAATGAGTGGGGGATTGTTTGTGTTAGAGACAGCTGAAAGATGGGTTTTTGGCTGGCTCTGTTTTTCTTCTTTTCTCTCGTTTTTGTTTTTTCCGGTGAGTCTTTCGTGGGTAGTATAGTTATCCTCAGGGCAAAATCTTGAAGGTACAATGGTGAGCACAAAAATATTACTGGACATGGAAAGCGCAAAATGTGGGTTTGTGCCATTTACTGTGGAAACACCATAACCTAACCAAAGACTGATGGGAAATTTTAACAACCCAACTTTTAGACCCGTTAAAATTTCCAGAAAAGGGAGAACATACTGAATTAATTAACTAGGGTTAGGTTAGGCAACACCTTAGCCTAGATAATAATTTCCACGCGCATCTTCTCACTTTAAAAAATGATGTGATATCCACACACCATTTTTTTATTTCTCACACATTCTTTTAATATTTAGCCGTTGGATCTGATGAATTGAAGAAGATCAAATGATAGAAATTAACAAGGGGTGTGAGAAAAGTAAAAAGAGGTGTGTGGATAGCACACCCCCTTTCAATAATGTTATTCTTACCATCTAGTTATACCACTTTTTGTATCATGTCTCTAATAGAGATGATATCCACATACGTTGGTGGGTCTTACCTCTATTAGACAATCTCAAACTCTTGAGTTAAAACCTAAATTTTTTAACCTAGAAAATTTAGGTTTTAACTCAAAAAAAAGTTTTCTGCTCAAACCTTTCTATGTTAAATTTTTAGGGCGGGGTTATTAAAGAATGAATTTAGAATCATTTTTTTCTTAAAGTAACTTAAAAAATTATGTAGACTATATCCCAAAGTGGACAATATCTAGCTACGGCGGAGTTGAGTTCAGGATGTGGTGAGGGCCCGAGCCAGGATATGACATCTTAGTCGTTAGATTCAATGAAATTATAAATATAAAACAAAAAAAAATACACATATATGGGAGGCCAGCCCCAATAACTCAGGGGGGGGGGAATCCTGGCCTAAATTTGCCCTAGAAATAAGTTATAGGTTAAAATTCATATTTGTCCCAAGGGTTGGTGCAAGTTCGGGTGAATTTAAAACCTAAAATTTAAGTTTTACTCTAAAAAATAGAGTAGGTCTTAAAAAGATGGTACAAGTGATGGTATAATTAGATTGTAAGTGTAGCACTATACAGTACTCATTTTATTCACTAAGCTATGTGATGGTCTAATAGAGATATATAACATCTGTCATTTGAAATTCTCTCCCACACCCTTTAATATTAGTAACCAAACAGCCTCAAACATTTCAACCTTAACCAAGCACTCATCTTTTCTTATTCCTTTCTTCCCATGGCCGATCTACCAATAATAATCTTCTTCCCATGGCAGATGTAAACCAAACTGATAAAATTCAAGAAGTGGGGGTTCCAGACAGAAAAAAAAAAAAAAAAAAAACACGAATGTTTCAGTTGAACTAAGCTTTCTCGATCGATCCTACCCACAATCACTCTTCCAACCGTCCGACTCCACACTGCAGTGAATGCCACCGACTTCTGCAGCGGTGAGGATGACGAGTTGGGGGTTCTCGCTCGGTGGTGAACAAGGACTCGACGCCGGCTTTGCAACTGAGGTCAAGACCGTCGCGGGTGCGAGGTTGGTGAATCCTGGAATATGGAGCTTGCAGATAATGGCAGAACTGATGAGGCCGCAGTCAAGGACAGAGGCAACTAAGGCCCACTGGGGTAGCTGCTCCACTGATATTTTGTGCACAAAGGAAAAATTACAGGATGCTTAAAGAACTTGAATTTATTATACTTAAGTACTTTAATTAATTAGTTGAAACTGTCAAATAATATGTATAACAAGTTATCATTTGTGAAAAAATATCTCGGGCTCAATGAAATTTTAGAAGACAAAAAAAGCAATTAATGAAATTATATAAGAAAATTCTACTATCTTTATTTTATTTTTATTTATTTTATTTTATTTTTTTTGCTTCTCAAGTATAATTGGAGGTTAAGGTTTACCCTCCTAATTAAGGAAAGTTTTATGAGTATCGTCGTTGATTTGTTAGGGCGGAAGGAAGACGAAGGGGAGAAGAAGATTTAAGTTTGGTAATAGTTTTAAGAAAAACTAACGAAAATGGTTTGAAAACTTTGAGTTTTAATGATAAGGACAAAATAAAGGGTAAAGTGAACAGTACCAGGTTTGACTTTTTAGTGTAAAAATATGATTTTTCGTTAAAGTGAACAGTACCGTGGGCTTTTCGTTAAAACTCCCATAGTTTTAAGGGTGAGATTGTGTTTGGTCACAAAGATGGAAAAGGGTAGGGAGATGACAAATGTTATATTTCTATGAGTGGTGATATTTCCACCCCGGTGTCTTATTTCCCCACCCACCATTTAATGAAAATGTTAATAACATATTTATCCTTTTAAAAGAAGACTCTTAAACCCCTATTTCATTCAATACTAAAATTTTGAAAAGACAAAAAATAATTTAAAATAATAAATAAATAATGGTGGGTGGGGTGTGATATCTTTGGGGGAAAGAGGTTTGGAAATGGTTAGAATCGACGGAAAGGTTGGTGGAAGGAATGAACGTGTACTGGACGAAGGCGATAAACTTCAATGGAGAAAAAAGAGAATTGAGTGTGAGATCTGCGGTTTTGACAAAAAAATGAGGAAGAAGAGTGGTTTGGGGGTCCGGGGTCTCTGTAGGGCGGCGATAGGTGTGAATGATATGATAAATGTCTAGGTCTTAGGTCTTGCATTTTCTTTCATTTTTTCTATTTTTATTTATTTAATTATAATATTATTTAAAGATATATTAGAGTTATTTAAAAATATATTATGGTTATTTTGGGAATAATGGTGGGTGGGGAAATAACATTTTACTTTTTTAATTTTTTATGGTGGGTGAGATTATCATGTGGGTGGGAAAATAGGACACTGGGGTGGGTCTAGTAGCACTCATTTCTATTAGGTCATATAGATTGGTTTGTTAAATGGGTACTGATAATTGGGTGCATTTTTGCTCACCCATATTAACTTTGGTGTATGCTCACCATACACTTATATGCCTGCCATCTATCTCAGTCCCTAATCATAGTTAACTTTTTTATTAAAATACTTTTTCAATTTTTAAAAGTAATTTAAAATACTGATTAAACAAAAACAAAAATAAATACAAACCCACCCCACTCAGCCAACCCAACCCAGACATACACCACTCACGCCGTCGTCTCCGATGACCATCTTTCAACCCCAATTCCTTATTTACCCATCCCTTAAAGCCACTCCACTCCACATGCATCGATGGAAAACCCTTTCTCTTTTATTTCCCTATGGGTCCAAAAATCCCAAGCCGAATAACTCAACCTAAATCCAAAAATCCCAAACCCTTCTCTTTCAACCGAAGAACTCAACCTAAATCCATTTTTCTCACAAACCCAATTGAAAAACTTCCAAGCCTTCACGGGTCTTTATCCAATTTCTTCAAAACATAGATTACTGCTACATCGGTGGTAAGTGATGGGTATTAGGACTTGGATAACTAGTTCTCCAACTCACTAGACCACCGGTTGGCCAAAATGAGTTGCAGAACCTAAAAAGGCAAGAGAAATAGAAAGAGAGATGAGACAGGAGGAGAAGGGTGAAGAAGAGAAAGGGAGACCGCGAACAGATGGTTTATCCGGCCACCAGACGGAGAGGTGGTCACGACGGCGGAGTTATATGGGTGTGTAATTTGAAGTGCAATGGGATTGTTTTTATTTTTGTTTAATCTCAGTGTTTTAAATTAGAAAAAGAATATTTAACAATGGAATTAACTATAGTTAGGAGACAGACAGATGGCAAGCATATAGGTGTATGGTGAGCATACACCAAGGTTACTGTGGGTGAACAAAAATGCACCCCTGATAATTTTTGTCTTGATTTTTCTTTGATTATTCAATTTAAAAGCCAATAAAAGAATGTATAAATGAAAAAAACATGAGGGTATAAAAATCATTTCCCAAACTAGATAATGTCTCTCATAGGATTGGAAAATTGGAAACTAAACAACTGTATTGGCGTAAGCTGTTTATTATAAGTGGATTACACTTCTTTTTTTCTCTTTTGTTTTTCAATTAAGCAACATCGTGTGACATGATGAAATGGTATTATAAATAACGTATGTTAATTTCTATATAACATGTTAGTATATACAACATTACAAGTGTAAACGTTGTCATCCATTATGTCATAACCTAGACGAATCGTGTATATATAAAAGTTTTTCTCTTGTTATCTTTTGCCCTCAAACAACATATACTTTTGGGTACGTACTTCTTAAAAGGGAACCTAATTCATTATGACTGTTACAAACAGATTCTGTATTTGTCATACAAATATGAACCATGCAAAAGATCAAACCTTTCTATTTGCTTGGAAAATGAAAAATTAAGGAACCTTTAGGTTTTCCAAAGGCCGTGAGTTGTAGATTGTGGCTTTGTATGTGGATTTGCTAGGCTTGCACATCCTTTTGTCTTCTACCCAGCCATAGTGGACGGAGAGGTAGCAACTAGCAAGTAGTGTTGTCGAGGAAGGTAATGCTTTTTTACTACTCCATTTAGCTAGGGTCTCTTTCACGAAAGGTTCTTCTGTCCTGGACAAAGCTTCTATTAGAGAGAGATGGAATCAAAATTTGGAAAATGGTGGCCTGACAAATTAGGGGGTGGGATATAGGGTTTTTTTTTTGTTAAGTGGACCGTAATAAGAGACACGTGGTTCGTCTCCCTACTCTAGAATTTCTCAGCTTTTACCCTCTTTTGGCATGTGACAGTATATAGGATAATACTATTCAAACACTCATTTTTAACTTCTACACATTCTTATTAATTTTTTGTCATTGGTCTTCTTCAATTCATTCGATCCGTCGACAGTAAAAAATCGAGAGAAGTGTATAAGAATTAAAAATGAGTATGTGTGGATAACACTATCCTAGTATATAAAATGGAAATTACAGGAAGGTTCGGTGGAAAAACAAGTAGAGTTCATTTGGGGTGTTGTCCTAGTGTGTTAATTAACTTACCTAAACCATCACGCATGGATTTCATTTGAAATTAAAAGCGCCATTGGGCATTTTTCATTACTTGGTGTGGCAATAGCTTATCAAAGCAACGCAGAAAATGATGAAAAGTA